GCACTGCCCGTTCTGAGGGGGCTGTGGGAAGGGAGTCCTGCCCCCTGTCCCGCCGGGACAGCGAGGGGACAGCTCGGTGTGCGGGTGACACCTCTGGGATTCCGCTGTTCCAGGGGGAGGCTGGGAACCCTGGGCATGTGGCCGGTTATTTTGGTGTTTTTCCTTGTTAAATTTTCCAGATAGAACAGAATACAGGTATGGAGATCTCTGTAATTCGAGGTGTTTGTCAGGGCAGATCCTCCTGCTTGTGGCTGCCCCTGGGTCCCTGGAAGTGTCCAGGGCCAGGTGGGACAGGGCTTGGGGCGGGCTGGGCTGGTGGAGGTGTCCCTGACCATGGCAGGGGTGAAATGAGATAAACTTTAATGTCCCTTCCAACTTGAATGATTCTGGAATTCTCTGGAGTCCTTAATGGAAGCAGAATGGCTAGAAAAAGGATTTAAATTCGAATTTAGTAATGAAAGGCTAGACTTGTTTGTTTAAAAACCACTGTGGGATGTGGCTGCAGGGATGCTCACCACAGGGACCAGAGACCAAACCTCTGGGAATCCCAGGGCTTCTGGGATGGCTCATCTGCTCCCTGGTGGGTTTGAGATGTGCCCAAAAGTGCCTTTTGTTGGCAAGAAATACCTGTTTGTGTACCTAGGTGCTTTAATGCTCTGGGTTTTATTTACAGCAAGGAAGTAGAATGGAGAAGAGAAATGTGTGGTGGGAGCTGGGCTGTAAGAACAGGCTCTGCTCCAGGGAAGGTCACTTCCTGTGCTCTGTCCAGGCATGGGGACTTGTTTCTGTCATGATTCAGTGGAATACACCAGCCTTTATGAAAGTATTTCTGACACACATTTTCTGCCAGCACTGTGCTGTTCTCAGGCTGCTCTGCTGCTCTCTGAGCTGAGCTGTCACACAGAAGTTTGGGCAGCCAGGGCTCCCCACCCAGCTGGGGCTGGCTGAAGTTTGTGCTGACAGTGTGTGCCCTAGAAATCTGCATTTTCCTGTTGTATTCCAGAGGCAGTGACCTGAAAAACAACCACAGAAAATCTTGGCACTGCTTCTCTCCTCTCATATCAGTGCCCTAAGTCTCAAAGAAACATTTGTGATCCTTTGTTGTTGAGGAGCACAGAGATCTTACTGGAGCGTCTTGTATGAACAAAGTATTTAGGAAAAATGATATTAAATTATCTCAGAAAGATTTTTACTTAATGCCACAGGCAGACATGAGGTGACTCTTCTCTGCCTGGTTTCCCAGGGTAACACAAGGCAGGAACAGAGATAATGTTTTGTCTGTGATCTGCTTTTACAAGCACTTTCCCATGCCCAATAAAACACAGTGTTGTAAAAAATGAATGTAACTGGCTGAGTGCACAGTGCTTTCTGGAAACCTGAGCTGCAGCAGTGCAGTAAAACAGACATTTTGGTGTCTGTGCATTGTTATTTTCCTTTAGCACAAACCCCAGAATCACTTAGGACTCACAACCTTTCCCTTGTGTCTCTCTGAAGACTGGCAGTTAATTGTAGCTCTGCAGTCTCTTAGCTCTGGAGAGATTTTCAGCTAAAGTTATCATGAAAAATAAAAATAGCTCCTGGCTTTAGGTAGTTCTGCTGCCTCTTTTTGCAAGTCCTGCCTTGGGACAGGGCTGGAGCCTGAGGTTCAGCTCAGTGTGAAGTTTCTCCCTCCTGTGTTGCCCTGGGTGAATGTGGGCATGGGAATGGTTTTCAGTGACCCTCTCCTGCCTGGGTGAAATCTTGTGTGTGTTATCTACAAAGTTATGGACATTTCTTTTTTCTTTACTGTCCCTCTTCTCCTCTATGTCTTCCCTTTAGTTACTTCTAGTAGTAACAGTGGTGTTGGCACTCAGTGCCTTGCTGGTGGGTGTATTTTCCTTACCAGATTTCTGATTCTTTCCATTTTTTTCAATTTTTGTCTTTCATCTTTTTCTCTGCATGCCCACACTCTGTTTAAGTCTTAATTTAAAGATTTATCATTTCCTTCTGTGAAAAATTCTTGACATTGTGAGGAGTTTCTACCTGTTGGAGTCCAGATATATTACTGCATTTTGGGAGAGGTTGTGGAATTGCACTGATTTTTTTTTTTCTTTTTGAAGAAGGAAGGGAAGCTGTGGGCATTCAGATGATTGGGTTTCTTGTCCTCATTTAGATCTCTGTTTGATTTCTTTCTTTTTCAGATTTACTATCTACTCTGCCAGAACCAGTTTGGATAAAGCTGAAAAAAAAATCAGATATAAAAAGGGCATCATTTTTATTAGAGCATGTGCCTGTTGTTAATTCTTGATATAGAATAGTATTAAAGCCTGACCTAAGTCTCTCAGTAGCTTATATTTGTGAGAGATAAGAGATGGAAATGTTATTTTTCTGTGTTGACTGTTTCTTGAAGTAAAGAAACAGTATCAGATCTTGAAGATGTCTTGTGCTGGCTGAAATTTCAAGTCTAAAGTGGGTCACATTGTAAGAATTAAATCTCTAGAGACCTGAGAACTGCAGTGCCTGATTGGATGCACTGGATTTCCTTCCTGGCACAAACAGGCAGCAGGGATTTTAATGCCAACAGGTTTCTCTGGAAGTGCTGTGAGGTTGAAAATAAACGATTTATGTTAATTGTGAGATTTGGGAAGCACAGAAATGATAAACCTTCTGAACCTGGCAGGGCTTTAGGGGGTACCTCCCATCCTTAGTGCCTGGGGAGAGTTGTGTGGAATCAGAAGAAAACTGACTTTTTCTTAGTCCAGATGCTGTCAGATACTGCACTGAGCACATACCCATAATATTTCCTAAATCCTGGGCTTTTATCCTAAATCCCCTTGCAGATTTGCTGCAGTTTTTAGGAACCACACTGCTGAACTTTTCTTTTAAGGATGATCTCAGTCTCTTCAGTTCTTTAACAAGATGTGTTTTCAGCTCTCCTGAGAACCATCCCCACGGTGGAATTGGCTGATAACGACTCCACAAAGAGCAGAGAAATGAAAAGGAAGGGGCTGATTGTGTGTGCAGCAAACCTGCCCTGAATTCCTGATAGAGGCATCACATTTATCTGGTGTCAGCTCTGTTTTAAGCTCACAAGATCTGGCTCTGCTCCCAGGGAACAAATAAAAAGTTGCACCTGGGGAGGTTTAGATTGGCTATTGTGGAAAATTTCTGCGCTGAGTGGGACTGCTTGGCTCTGTCAGAGTCACTCTGCATGTGATCAGAGCGCTGGTTTCAGCCTTTCACTGCTTTCTGCTGCTCACTCACAAATAACTGGGCACCTCCCTGCCATTCCATTGCAGTGACCCTGCTTTGGAGGCTCTGGTGAGTGATGCTGTGTCAGCTCCCGTGCTTCGTGTTCAGCTGGGCTCTCAGTTTCCTTTTGAACAGCTCTGGGGAAGTCACAGGGTAGGAGTCACCATTCCCATGGAGACCTTTCTCAGTGATCATGTGCAGCCACTCAAAATCAAAGCTCCTCTGCCCCTGAAGGCCCAAATTCTGCTTTACCTGATCCTTAAAGATGGAAACCTTTCTCTGAGGGGGGAGCTGAGCAAGGAAGTGGAGAATGGGACCTCTGTCCTCATGAAGACTCTGCTCTGTGGCCTTTGGCTGTTCATTCCCATTGCCCCTGTTCTCCTTGGAGTGGAGTGCTGTATGACACAATTCCATGTCTCTGGGTGGCTGCCCACCACAGGGACTGCTGCCAGCTTTTCCAGGGGAACAGCAGAGGCATTTTCTTCTTAGGGAGAACCACAAGATGGAAAATCAAACTCCGATGGAAAATCAACATTCCTGTGCCCCTGAGTGCCCGGATTCTGCTTTACCTGATCCTTAAGGATGGAAACCTTTCTCTGAGGGAGGAACTGAGCAAGGAAGTGGAGAATTATCCTCATGAAGACCCTTTGCTCTGTGAGCTTTGGCTGTTCATTCCCATTTACCCTGTTCTCCTTGGAGTGGAGTGCTGTATGACACAATTCCATGTGGGTCCCCACCAGCTTTTCCAGGGAAACATCAGAGGCATTTTCTTCTTAGGGAGAACCACAAGATGGAGCAAAATGATTCCAGGAGCTCCTGTGTTTAACATCTCCCTCTTTCTGTCTAAAAACATCAACAAGAAAAGCTACTGGAGACCCACTGTGAAGCTGGAAAAACCTGCCATGGAATGCCAGGACGTGTGGAAAACAGCAGGGCTGAGTTTCAATCTGCTGCTGGGTTTGGACCTTCAGAGAGGGCTGTGCCAAGGTTAAGGGCACTCAGAGCAAACTGAAGGTCTCTCCTGGCAATGCATCTTTGAATGCTGCACTAAAGGAGCTGTTATAAGACAGAAATCTGTTCTTTCACCTATGCCCTGAACAGAAATGAGGTCAAGTGTCTCTGGCTGTGCTCTGTGTGTTACTGAGGTGCTCCAGAGGCCATTGATGAGGAAACACTGCTGGATAAGCAGCTGGGAGTGTCCCCTCCTGCCCCATGGCTCACTCAGAGCCCTGGGCTTGGTGCTGAGCCCCCAGGAATTGGTTGCCTGTTTGTGGCTGAGCTGTGCTTCAGCTGCTGCTGCCTCCCTGCAGAACATCAGAACCCAGAAACTGATGGTCAGTCCACTAGACAGAGAAAATCTGGTTGTTATTTTATCAGCATGTGGTGTACTGGCCTTCACCAGCTTGAGGTGATGCTGAAGATTGTTTTATGAATTTTAAATTGTAGCAGTTTCCTAGAGAAAGTGAGGATTGGTGGATCCAAACTTTCCTGTGCAGCCGTGGCTGTTTTATTGATGCTGCTTTTTTTTAACTCACATTTTCTAGACCATGCAGGAGGTTGGATTGAATTCTCATGTGTGTTTCTCCTGTTTTTGTGTTGTTCTGGGTTTTGCATCAAACCTGGAGAGGTGACAGGAATACAAACTTCAGGCTGTTATGGTTTGCAGCAGATACCACAGAGGTGCAAGAAAAGAGTGTTTCCCAGGCTTTGTGAAATGATTTTGTCTTCCTTCTCAGGTTTAATGTATTGCCTCTGTGAAGACAGGTGACTCAATGATCCCAGAGGTCTTTTCCAACCTAAACAATTCTGTGATTCCAAGGCTAGTTCTAGGAGCCTGGAAAACCCCAAAGTGCCAAATAATTTTGTGTAGAACACTGTCCTGCATTAAGCAATGGTGGTTGGGCTTCTGTGCTAAGCCATGGCCACTCACACCCCCCCTAAAATGCTTGGGCTCACAAATCACCTCAATCTTCCTTGTGTTTGTGTTTTTGCAGAGCTGACCCTGAACCCACCAGAAGGGATTGTGGCAGGTGAGGAGCTGAGCAGGGTTTGTGCCCTCTGGAGCTGTGACCTTGTTTTCAGGTAGCCCTGAGCATTGTTCTGTTCTGCTTCACAGGTCCCATGAATGAAGAGAACTTCTTTGAATGGGAGGCCCTGATCATGTGAGTTAAATTCTGTTTGGTGTCTGAAATCAGCTGTGATGCTGTGATGAGCTTCTAGGAGAGCAGGAATGTGGAAAAGGACTGTCAGTTCTGTGTGACATCAGCATTGGCCTGCCTTGGGCTGGAAACTCCTCTGATCCAAACAGGGACTTAATTTGGACTTTAAACAGTGACAGAGGCAGCATTGGTGATGTGTACAACTTGTTATCATAACTTCTTGTACAGGTGCCATAATAACAAGCTCACAAATTTGTCAAGAATCCTCATTTGGGCTCCCTTGGATATTATTTACATTTACAAACACTGTAGGAAACAAACAGTTTATTGTAGATCTCACATACCTTGGAGCATTGCCTATCTGCAAGTGCAGGACAAGCTTTGAGTGGAGCAAAATACACAAATTATTAGTGACAGGAGAAAAAAAATCAATGTCTAAAATTAGTTTATTTACTATTTATTTTTTCTTGGAATATTGAAATGTTCTGATCAGAAAAAGTATTGAAATTTAAGTTAAAATTCTTTTGAAGTTCTTTACACTTCCTGAATCAGTTGGTGCTGACAAGGGTTGGATGCAGTGGTTTTGTCTGGAAAGAGATTCACTCTTCTCTTGATGAATAGCTCTGATCCTGACCTGCTGTGTTTTGGGGCTGATGAAAACTCCTTTACAAAGCTGTGTTCTGTCTCTTCCACTCCCCACCTGGTGGGTGTGGTTGTTGGTAGCAAAATTTGCCATGAAAAAGACAATTTGCCATGAAAGGACAAAATCTTTCGCCCAGCATCTTACAGGTTGTCTTCTCTCTTTCTTTTACTCCTACTCATGCTGTACCTTCTTTGGGAGCTTTGAGTACATGGAATAACCAGTGATTTTTACAGAATAAAGTTCTAAAATGCTAGAGGAGAGGAAAAAAGACTTTGTCACTCACATCTGACAATTTATGCAAATACTGCACAATTAAAAGGTGAAGAAGCTCCAGAGCACTGAGTCCACCTTGAAGCTGGTGGTCTGTTGTTGGGGTGGATCCTGGCTCTGTATTTCAGGATTTGGTAAGAATTGGGGGTTTCCTTTCCTTCTGCCAGGCCTGGGTTGTCCCAGAGGACTGGCAGTGGCTGTGACCCTGCTCTCTCTGTGCCTGTTCTGATCTGAGCAGGTTTTCCCTGCAACCACCAGTGCTGACTGGGGAGATTCTCAGCTGGTGTGGGTGGCAGAGTTTTCCTAGCTGGGTTTGCTTGGAATCTGTTATCTAGGGATGAAAACCAAGATTTCTGTCTCTTGGGCTCAGGGGTGCAACCAATCCAAGAGCTGAGTTCCCTGTTGCACACAAAGTGGCTGTGTGGGTGATGCTGCTGCATGGCTCTGAGTTATTTTAGACCTTGCTGAGTGGAGGTTTGGATTACCACTGCTTGTTTTGCTCATTGATGGCAAGAGTTGGCAAATGCCTCTGCTTATGTGCAGTGATTTCTCCTGGGATAGCAGGTTGTGCTTCCTGGTAGCTCAGTGCCCTGAAAAGAAACACTTAGCATGGAAATTGGTTGTTCTGTTGCCTGACATCAGAGATTTTGGCTGCAGGGTCTTGGGCTTTCTGTGAGAGGCATAGTCAGCACATTTGCTTTGTGCTGGGCCAGATTTCAGGTCAGGCAGCTGTGATTGCTGGCAGTGTGGAAATCCCAGAGGGTTTAATGCACTTCTTGGAACATGGAAGGAAATTCCTGCTTATTGGTGCTTCCTCCTGGCAAAGTGCTGTGCCTGAGTAGAGATTTCCTGAGGGAGGCTCAGAGGTACTTCTGAATTGCCTAGAAAACACCTTTTCTGATGTTTCCTGTCACATCCTTAAAGAACAGAGGAGCTGCTCTGCAGACTTGAAAGCCCTTTAAAGTGCTGAGTGTTGAGCTTCAGGTCTTTGTCAGCGTAAAATGAGAGGCGGAGGTGCTTTCATTTTGGTTTCTGCATTGTGTGTGTGTCATAATAAAGTTATATTTTAAGATCTGCTCAATTTTGAAGGTGTGATACAATAGAAACATGTTTACCCCAAACACATTGGGTTACTTTCATCTCTTCACAAATCTTGTTAGTAGCAGTGTTTGCCATGCCTTTGGAAAGTAAGTTACATGACTTGTTTGTATTTGTCTGTGGTGGTCTCCTCCAGTGTTGTGTAATCTCAGATGTGCTGTGTGAGATTCAGGGAATGAGGTGTGCAGAGGAGAAAACAGGAGTGAAGCTGCCTGCAAATTTTTACACAGATGAAGTGCAAATGGTAAGAAACATAATTATGAAAAAAAGCAGAATACTTTCTTTCCTTCACCCAATTTATATAAAGCTAGAGCTTTATATAATGGCACATAACTTTAAAAAAAGAGACCTAAGAAAAAAAAGACATCTCTCATTTGTCAATTCAAAGGTAGGCTGGGTAATGTTACATAGATTGATGTAAGAGCTTGACTTGGAGATAAAACAAAGCGTTTTTAAATAATGGAAATAATAATAATCTGTATCTCCAGTGTTCTTGTCTGCAGCAGCAATGCTGGAGTAATGTAAAATACATAAATGTTGAAACCATACTAAAAAAAAGGACAGAACAGATTTTACACTCCTAAAATGAGTGTGATGGGCACAGAACTGAAAATACCCATGTGAAAACCTTTCTGAAGACCAGAGGTGGGGAGCATTGTTGAAAGCCAGGTCTTTGCAGCATCATTTCAGGAGAGTTTGCCGTGTGTTGCTCAATTCCCTGGCGTTGCGTGAGGTCCTCCAGGCTGTGTTGTGTTCATGGATTTAACATTTCAGGGCCAAGTTTTGCCCTCTCTGGTTGGCATGTACAAGTGTGTGTTGCTATTAAAGTTTATCCCCAAAAGACACAAAAGCATGCAATGGTTAAGAACTTTATTAGCCTAAAGATTGCTTGAAAACTAAACAGCGTAAATTGAAGTCAACTTATCACAAAGCTGTTTAGAAAGGTAATTAGATCTATAATTAGGCTTATGACTTTTGTTTCCATTCCCCTTTTGGGCATCTGATGATTGTGGGGTTTGGTGTTTTTCCAGCATCTTTTCACAAATAAGCCGTTTGCAAATGTATGTGAAGCTGTGATTATAGAATTAGAATCACAGAATTGTTAAGGCATCAAATCCAACCATTCCCCAAGCACTGACAAATCCACCACCAAACCATGTCCCCAAGTGCCACATTCACATGGTTTTTGATTGCTTTCAGGGATGGTGACTCCACCACTGCCCTGGGCAGCCTGAAAAACCCTTTCAGGGAGGAAATTTTTCCCAATATCAAAACTAAATCTCCACTGTTGCAACTTGAGGCTGTTTCTTCTTGATTTGTCTGTTGTCCTTTGGCAGCAGAGCCTGAGCCCATCTGGCTGCACCCTCCTGTCAGGGAGTTGTAGAAGGTCCCTCCTGAGGAGCCTTTTCTCCAAATTTCCATTAGCTGTTCTCCTCAAGGTACTTCTCTCTCCTATTTGGAAGATCCCCACCACTCTTCTCTGCCCCTTGCATGAGTTACAGCCAGCTTCTAGAGGGCAGAGCTTCTCATTCTTCTCATTTTCATGCTTTGTCTACTTGTCAGCTTTGGAATCACTGCAGAGCAGGGGGTGATTGCAGCAGCTGCCATGCTCTTACCTCCCTGGCCCTGCCAATGTCCTTTGTGAGCTCAAAGTGATGCTGTCAAGTTCAAATGCTGAGTGTTTTGTAGCTGCAAATGCTGTCTTGGATTAACTTTAATAATTTCTTTGAAGTTGATCCTGGCAGCGCTGAGTGGCTGAAACAAAAGCATTTTGCTCACATAATGCAGGGCCTAAAATGGAGTATGTTGGGTTGAGTGTATTTGACAGAAGAGCCCTTAAGGCTGTGGGTTTGCTCTCAAAACAGAACATAGACACCCACCAGCTTTTCAATGCCTGTATGTACATACTCTCAGAAGTTCAACAATAAGCCTTTAAAATGCAGCTGGAATTAAAATGGTCAGGAAAAAATGCATTCAGTTTACTCTCAGATGTGAATTGAATCCTGACTAAATTTAGGGAAAAGGCCAGAAAGGGAACAAAGTGGTTGAGACAGTTTAGCTTTCATTCTTGCAGAATGTTGGTGCATTTCTCTTACCTTACCTGCCAGTGTCAATATTCATGTTTAAATCACATAGGTTTTGTGATTTAAGCCAAGTTCTTGTGATTTAAGCCAAGTCTTTTGGATCTCCAAGTTTGAGACAGTCTTCCAGTGCTTTAGGATTTGCTGCTCTCCAACTTTAATGTTCTTTCTGGCATGGAGAATGTGGACTGGGAGGAGGAAGCATGAATATATTCCTAACCCTTATTTCCCAGACAGTGCAACCTTTGTTTGAACAGCCTTTTACTAAATACATGAGGTTTCCTTGGCAACAATTTTTAGTGCTGAAGCTTTTTTCGTCATCTTTCCAATCAAGGGAAATCATGTTTGTGTTACAACTTCCAGATGGTTCATCAAGTTTGAATAAATCATGGCTAGTGATTTATTATTTGTTTTTTGCTCACAAATAACTTGGTTTTTGCTCACTTTCCACAAGTGTTTTATGTAGGCAGGGTAAAATAGTTGTCTTTATGTTCTCAACTCGGCTGCACTTTGAACTAGATCCTGAACACAATAAGGAAATGTTCCTACAAGAGCCCTGATGAAGCCATTTGTTCTCCACCTGCACTGGAGGGAGGGCAAACTCAATAGCTGAAGTCTGCAAAGACACATTGTTGTCCTGCATGTCTTCTGACAATTATGGTCTCTGGGCTGTGTTTTTATTTTTCCAAACCTTTGCTGTGCTTTCTGCATCAGACAGTGATAAGTGTTTGTGTGGTTGTGCTAGATACTGGCAGTTGGGATCTCTGTGGCATTTATAAATTAATTTTGAGCTCCAGCATTTGACATCTCTGTCTTGCAGAGCATAACAGTATCTTCAAAGGCACAGGAGTCCCACACCTGCCTCTGCTTTCGCTTGACGTGCAGACACTCAAATCCTGGAACATGCCTTGGAGCCAGATACTCCAATTATATCCAGACACACCCTGCTAATTAAACAGTGTTGTGACCTTCCTAGTAATTTAGCGTGCAAGCTTTGATTTCCCCCCTGCCTCCCAAGCCTCATATTTGGATTTAAGTTTAAGTTTAAGTTTAAGGTGTGGGGTAAGAGCACCTTAACTCTTTGTTTCCTGGAGAAGACGATGGAACCCATGCCTCAAACATCTCATGAGACAAGAATTTGGGTGAAAGAGCTGTTTATAATTTTGGTGAATAACATTTTCTCTGTTTCCAGGGGTCCTGAAGACACCTGTTTTGAGTATGGGGTTTTCCCTGCTATCCTGAGCTTCCCGCTGGATTACCCGCTGAGCCCTCCCAAGATGAGGTTCACCTGTGAGATGTTCCATCCCAACAGTGAGTTTAGTGCAGCAGGATGCACAGGGGGGTTGGAGTTGCTTGTGCAGCTTTAAAAGAACCTTTTGCAGCAGCAGATCTGGCATCCTTCCCAAGGGTGGTTCTCTCCCTCCCCAACCTGGAGCAGGCAGCACGAGCATTCAGCTGCCCAACTGTTTTGCTCTGTCTTAAGGTCCTTTTATCTTTATCCCATTATTCCTCATAAAATTTTTGCTCATCCTAAAAGGATTCCAGCAAATTCCATGCCTTTAAATCTTCTGTACAGGATGTGAGACTTAGTGAATTAATGCAGGCTCTTTCTAGACAAAGAATCATAGAATATGCTGAGTTTGGAGGGACCCATCAGGATCGTGGTGTTCAACTCCTGACTATGCATGACACCCCAAGAATGCCACCATGTGCCTGAGAGCATTGTCCCAACACACCATGAACTCTGTCTTGCTCTATGGCTTGTATCTAGGTATTTTGGTATTATTTTAATGACTGAAAAGTTGTTCATGGGTGCAGCTTTATTAGGCAGCATGACTTCTGCCCCATGAAATCACAGGTTTAACATTTCTGAGGGGATCTCTCTGAAATACAGTGCTCTGTCCAAGCAGACAACACATTTACAGGTGTTTAATATTAACACTTTGCTGGCCTTTGCTCTGTGATGCTGATTGAGTTAGAGACCTTGTCCAACCTTAGTGAGTCTGTGATGGTGACAATATTACCTGAAGACTCTTTAGTGGGAGTAATTGCAGTGACAAGAAATACAGTTAACAAGTTTGAGCCCTGAACATAAAAAAAACCTTAAGGTTTTTTTAAAAACCCTTAAGGTTCCTTAAGGAGAAGACAAATGCTGTGCTCCTGCCTAGTGCTGCCTCTTCAGCTGACATCCTTGCACTGGGAAAACACAGGTCATAATCTCAGCTGGAAATCAATTTATTTTGCCCTATATACAAGGAATTTTGCAATTTCGTGAAGTTTCTCTGTTATTCCTTTCTGGAAGCACCACCTGTGAGGTTCTTACCCATTTAACCCACATCTTTATTCTTCTGTAGAGGACACACCTGCATGTCACAGCACAGAACTGTGTGGACATGCCCAGGGCATTGTGGCAGCACTTCTGGAGCACTGGCACTTGGAAGCAGTGTGGCCATGTCAGCACCTTGCTGCAGCTGGACTGATTTACCCAAACTTCTTGCCAGGACTGGTGTCCCTGAGCAAAGCCTTGTCCCTGCAGCTCCAGCTGTGGCCTTGGCTTGAGGTTCACTGCTTGCAGCTGTGTTGTGTGCAGCACTGCCAGGAGGAGTGGGGTGTGGAGAAGCACAAATTGCCTGACTCCTGTGTTAAAGAGTGGCTTTACACATGGGTGTTCCTTCCATGGGATAGTTGGAACACACTGGATGGTCAGCTCAGCTCTTTGAAGCCCTGTGTCTCTGAGTCTTCTTAATCTGCAGCTGAGATCACCTGAAGCAGACACTTGAATGTTTCTTCTCACTGGGGTTGTGGTGGGCTGCTTCTACCCAGAAAGGGGTGGCTGGGCTGTGCTTTTTCTACTTTTTTCTCCCCCTGTGAGAAATCACAAGGAAAATGTTTTAAAGTCTGCTGTGTCCCCTCATCTTTGCAGTTTATCTTATGTCAAGGGGGAATTGGGATACCACAGAACTGTTTCCTGTTATATTAAAATGACCTTGGATACTCTGGTAAAAGTAACTAAATAGTGATGAATGGCATTGCTTGCGCTGGCACTGAGCATAAGTGTGGGGAGATCACAGGTAATAGGTGCTTTGGGAAGGATTGGTGGAAGGGACATTAAAACCTATCCTGTTCTACCCCCTGCCATGGCAGGGGCACCTTCCACTGTCCCAGGTTGCTCCAAGCCTTGTCCAGCCTGGCCTTGGGCACTGCCAGGGATCCAGGGGCAGCCACAGCTGCTCTGACACCCTGTGCCTCACCACCCTCTCAAGGAACAATTCAACAATTCCTAATTCCCAATATCCCATCCATCCCTGCCCTCTGGCTGTGGGAAGCCATTCCCTGTGTCCTGTCACTCCATGTTTTGTCCCAGGTCCCTCTCCAGCTCTCCTGGATCCCCTTTAGTCACTGAAAGAGGCTCTGAAGTCTCCTGGAGCTTTCTCTTTGCCAGGCTGAGCACTCCCAGCCTGTTTCTGGGGCATCTCTCTCTGGCCTCCTTTGGACTCGTTCCAACAGCTCCACGCCCTCAGGTTGGGGCCCCACAGCTGGACAGGGGTGTGTCTCACCTGAGCAGAGCAGAGAGGATCCATACATCTTCCTGCAGCCAGCCTTTGATGTCCTGCCTGTGCTGCTGTGCTCCAGCTGTTTCAAATGAGGCACTGTGCAGGAACAGGAGTGAAATCCTTCTGTCAGTGGGTTCCTGGCTTGCAGGAAGTGCTGATTCAGCACCTGCCCTGCTGTTTTCACCTCTTCCAGCTATGGTTAGAGCAGCTCCAGTCCCCAGCCTAGGGCTGCAGGAAGGACTGGGAATAAAAGTGCTCCACAGCGTTTACGTGCTTGGGCATAGCTGGGTGAATGGAAGGAGTTGGAAATGAGCACAGCTGCTTCCAGCAGCCATTCCCACTTTTTGTTTTGTCTTGCTTTCCTGGAAATGGCACCAGCTTGGTCACCTGAGGAATAAAAGCCCTGAAATTATTGTGCTAAAGTTGTCATTCCTCAGGAGCCTGCCATGCAGGAGAATTAGGCCATGTTGGTAGAGCAGTTTTCTTTTGAGGTGCCTCTTCAACCTTTGTTTGGTTTCATTACCAAGTCAGTGGAGTCCAGTCTCTGTGAAGACAACTTGTACTGTTGCTTATGCTAAAGGTGGGAGGGGAAGCACCTGGATCCTTAATTCATAGGTTTCCTTCGTTCCAGGTGCTTTAATGCATCTGGGCTTTAAGCAAACAAAAATAAAAAAGAAAAAAAAAAGTAATGGGAATTCTTCTGATTGCACCTCAGTAATATTCAAAAAAAGATCAGTCCTACTGTTCATAATATATTTAACATAACACTTTATTTTTTTCTCGTGTTTATAATATATATAACATAACACTTTTCCCTCCTTTGTGTAATGCTTTTCATGGTCACAGCCCAGTGAAGGCCTCCAATGTGCATTCAGTGCATTCATTTCCATTTAAGTGGCACTGCTTACCTGCTTGGAGCTGTGTCTGTGCATAAATTCTTGCCTTATTCCACCAGGCTGCATCATTCATTTCTTCCACGGAGCCTTTCTGGTTATTAAATGACACAAGTGTTCCCAACAGGCACTTGGGGAAGGAGTTGCTTAAAGAAGATTTGTCCTGGGGTTTTGTTTTTCATATTTTGTAGCCACTTGCTTATAGAGGAAATTTAAACCTGGATTTAGTTTTAATCATAGAAGAGCTAAGTCTTAAGGCTGATCTATGCCCCAGAGATGGAGATGCTGATCATTTCCACTAAATAACAAGCAATCCTGTGTGCTTTTTTGTGCAGTTTACCCAGATGGGAGGGTGTGCATCTCCATCCTCCACGCTCCTGGGGATGATCCCATGGGTTACGAGAGCAGCGCGGAGCGGTGGAGCCCCGTGCAGAGCGTGGAGAAGATCCTCCTGTCTGTTGTCAGCATGCTGGCAGGTGAGCCCTGCTGTCCTGGCAGCCCTTCCTCGGTGTAGCCTCTTGCCTTTTGCTTTGTTCACTGAGCAAAGCACGTGGAAAGCTGCTCAGCAGCAGCCACACTTCTTAAAGCTTTGGGGTTTGTTTATTTATTAGTGAACCGGTGTTCTGAGAAGGGTTGGAAAAAAATGCAACTGAATTAGTAATGGGGGTTACTGCAAGGCTTTCCTTCCAGGTTGGTAGCACCTGAGACAGTAGAGATGGATCAGGTGGTCCCAGAGGCTCAGCTGGACAAAGCCCTCTCTGTATTTGCTATGCTGTTCTTTATGTTTAAAGCTGTGGGTTACAGCCTCTGTTGGATTTGGCTTTGGCAGCTGAAGGGTTATCAGACCTAACCAGTACAGTAAACTGGAGCCCGTGGCCTCTGGTTCAGAAGCCAGCACACTCTGTTTGTCTTTGTTGTTCCCCTCTCTGCCATCTCTGGTTCAGAGGAAGGCTTCTTGAGGAGAGACCTGGGGTGAAAAACTTTTTGTGGAGCCTTTCAGATGTTTTTTCCTAAATCTAACAAGGGCTGTGGATCAGCTCTGTCATGTACAGCTCTCTGGAAAATGGATAATTTTCCAGACAGTGGACAGAGCCACTGAACTGCCTGAAGAGGGCAGAGCCATGTCCCTTAGAACTGGTTTTGAAGGATAAATGGGTTTAGAAGCTGCAAAGTTGACCAAAGAACAAGCAACAGATTCCTGCAAGGGGCTGTTTTAGCTTTGGAATAGCAACCTGCAGTTGGGAAGCTGTGCAGACAAATATTCCCATGGCTTCCAAGAGCTTGGTTTGTGATGCAGCCTCACCTGCACTGGGAAGTGTGGGAACCACGTGGTCTCCTTCTCTGCCCTCCATCCTGTTTTCCCATGGATTCTGGAGAAATTAGGCTAAAACACCAGTGGCCAGCTTCTTTCAGGGCACTGGAGACCTGTGAGCCCTGGCTGTGCAGGTGTTTAAGCCCAGGTTCTCCAGGCTGGGTGACCTGCTCACCTGCTGGCTTTTCAGGTGCACCATCAGGACCATGTGGAGAAGGATGGAACCCAGATACTGCCATGAACTGGGCTGGGCTGGGGTGGGTGTGACTGGTGTGACAAGAGAGGTGAGCAGGGTCTGATAGTGCCTTCTGGAACCCCAGGGCAGTGTCCTGCTGCCCACAGACCTTGTAAATCCTGGGTTCCAGATTACCTCCATAAAAAACAGGGAGCCCCTGGGACTTCAGCACTCCCTGTGCTTCATAAAACATTCTGAAATCATTTGATGAAAGGTGTTGCAGAAGTGAAAGCATATTCTATGGGTGTCCTTGGATTGTTTTGTTGGTTTTTAATAGAACAAACCATCCCAGCAATGGACAGCCTGTTTGGGTGGCCTGCTGGGAGGGGCTTTGTGTCTGGGAAGCTGGAGAAGGAGAAAAAAAACATTGTGCAGGGAGAAACACGTGGTTTTAAAAGCCCTTGACAGTACTGGGGGTGCCACATCTTGTGCCACTTGTTTCTTGCCTAAACTCAAACTTCTTGTGATACCCTTTCTCTTGTGGTCACTCAAATCAGAGCCTTTTGGGAATGCAGGAGCTGGCACTGGATTTGTTGCAGTGGTGTTTCTGCAGCCTCAAGGAGGAGAAGTGTTTCAAACCCCTGGGGAAGTGACATTCCTGAAGAAGCAAGAGGCTCCATTGCCCACTTACCTTTGTCTTTTTTGTTTCAGAGCCAAATGATGAAAGTGGAGCCAATGTAGATGCCTCCAAGATGTGGCGGGAAGACAGAGAACAATTTAACAAAATTGCCAAGCAGATTGTGCAGAAGTCACTTGGACTTTAAGCTCTCAGAGAGACTGAAGTGTTTTGTATTTCTCTCCACCTGGAAACGAGCAGTGCTCAGTGCTGGTACCAAAAAGGAAAACTTTGTAAAACTATTGGCCTAGTTCTTATAATTCGTTATTTATTTACCATCTCTTTTCTTCCACTGCTCCAGGGAAGCCTCTAGTTCACTCACTAAATTGTGTGGAAAAGGGATTCAATGGTAGAGAAAAATACAGAGACAATGCTGTTTCAAAGGCTGCTTGTTGCTACCTTCCTTTGTGGTGTGGAAAGCCTGGAGATTTGGCAATCTGCAGCCCTCCCTCACCCATCTGCTGTTGGAGAGCAGTGCTGGTTTGGATCATCTGCGGGCAGAATTAGTTGTGTTTTTATTGATAGCATTGCATCTGGAGCAGCAGTAGACAGGAATTACTCTATCCATTCTGTACTTGGTAGGTTAAGGGCAGCAGTTGCAGTCAGAGCTGATTTGAAGAGTATAGTTAGCAGGAGAGGCTGTAAAGCAGGGCTGTAGTCAAAGTGTGTTAGCAAAGAAAGGAGCTTTAGGCAGTGAGCTGTGAGGGCTGGCAGGGGTCTGGAATGGCCTGGTGTTCCCATGCACCACTGTGAGTTTGTACTGAGCCTTTGAGTCACTGTTGGCTTGGCAGCAATCCCAAGAGCAGCTTTGTTAATCCTTGAGGACACTCAGCTGTAAACTCCACACTCAGAGGCACAAGGTGTGAAGGCTGCATTGTGCAAGGGCACCTGGCTGAGGTGGCTCATTGGCAGCTGGAAAATCCAGTGAGGATGTTTTTGCTCTGCTGGGCATGTTCACAGCTCTGCAAGAATACCAGCTCACTCTGGTGACCTGTGAGTGCTGAGAGGATTTGGCACTGCTCTGCCATCACACCTGTCACCCATTTTCAGGTGAATGAGCCAACATGAACATGATGGAGTTACAAAAATCACTGAGTGCTCTGTGTGTTAAATAGGAAGCAGAGAGGATGGGCTGTTTGCTCAGTGATGGTACTAGGTGTGCTTTGGACATTGCAGTGTTGTAGCCAGTGTGCAGGAAATACCAGCTGGTCAGTTCCTAAAACTGCTGAGGGGCCTCTCCTGACCTTTCTGCTTTGCAAGCCAATCTCATGTGTAGGTCCAAATTTCTCCAATTTACTACAAGCAATAACATGCCCATTGATAGCACATGGAACCCAATTTTGTTGGCAGCTTTAAATGGGCTAAATTTGACAAGGGCTGTTGTTTTTTTTTTAATGTGAAAAAGTGTGATGTGGAAGGAGTCACACCATGAAGAAAGCTTTGCAGAGGTGATCGTGTGCATGTGTGTGGTACAACTGTTCAGCATTTCTGTCTTGCTGTCTGTGCTGCAGATCACACTTGGCCATTGTTGTGCACCTCTGGAGAGTTGTATTGCTACAACCTGCTGATTTTACCTCCTTGTAGAAATAATTGTGGCTTTGATGTCAGGGTGGAAGTGGGACTGGACATAGTTTGGGAGCAGAGATGATGAAATAGTGTTGTACCTAACTAGTATTTCAAGGCATACAGGAAAATGTAGCACTTTATGCAAACTGGGAGTGTTTTGTGGAGCAGAGGGAGGATTGTTCCTGGGAGTACTGCAGCCACCTTTGGGAGCAACCCTGGAGAGCTGCAGGAGCCACTGCAGAAACACAGACATGGCAAAAATGGGGTTTGCTTAAGTGCTGAGTGTTTTATTCATGTGTGCTTGCTCATTATCTTGATTTTATGGTGGGATTTAGTCTGTATACTGAAAATAAAGTGCTTCTATTTTCTCCTTTTATAGTTGTACACAAATGTATTGCAGTGGGTGTTGTATGTGAGTAACCACACAGCCAAGAGACCTGCTCCAAAGGGGTGGAAGGGTTCATTCTAACCCAGCTAAAACATGGCATCCTTTAGGAGTGAAAGAGCTAACATGACTGCATGGGCTTTCCAGGCAAATGTCTCTAATGCTGGCAGTGGGCGATTCAAAGAAAACGATAAAAATCTGACAGTGGGCAGATGTGTAGTTTGTCATCATATCCATATATCTGGCCTGGGAAGTTCTTGTGAACATGCAACAGGTGAATTCATTCAGGATGTGCTGGTGTCAGCACTTGGATTTGAGGAGGACACATAGATCATGGAATCAGTGAATGGTTTGGGTGGGAACAGACCCTAAAGACCATCTAGTTCCAGCCCCCTGCCACAAACAGGGATAATTTCCACTCAAGCAGATTTCTCAGATGCCCAGTTCTACTCAGAGGTGCCACAGTCCTCAAATCTCTGTCCAACAGTAAAATAAACCTTTCTTTTTAAGTGACTGACATGCAGTGGGCTTGCTGATGGGCATTTGAAGCCACCCAGTGACCATATCTACCTCTCAGTCTTAAAGGTGACAAAATGTGGGCAGAAGTTCACCTCAGAGGACTGAAACTTGGTGTTGAGGTGAGAACTGTCCTGCCTGGTGGCTGTTTACTCAGCTGAAGGCAGAGGGTGAGCATTTGTGTGCATTGAAATTCATTGTTCATTGTGATCTTTTAGGAAGGAGTTCCTCCCTGTGAGGGAGGTGAGGCCCTGGCACAGGCTGGAAATGTCCAAGGCCAGGGCTTGGAGCACCCTGGGATAGTGGAAAGTGTCCCTGCCTATGGCAGAGAATGGAATGGGATGAGCTTTAAGGTCCCTTCCACCCCACACCAATCTGGGATTCTGTGGAAGGTTTAAAGGTTAGATTCCCTGCTTCTATTTGCCAAAAAGAACTAAAACTTCATTATTCTGCTACAAACTGAATCCTTGCATAAAGTAGGAGGGTTCAGCTCCTGCAGGTGGGGAACACTTGAAGGTTAAAGTTTGCAAAGCTGGTGTGTAGCTCCTGGGATAGATTTCCCTGAAAGACTTAATTGTGTCCCTGAATGAGCACTCATGTTGGCAGGATGTGCAGTAGTGGCCAGTAGCAATGTTTTTTTAAGCAGTTGTCTTTTTCCAGCCTGAAACACTTAACTATAAAACATGTTCCTTGGGGAGTGTCAGAGCTCTACAGGTGTTATGCATGTAGGTAAAGTATTAAAGATTTTTTTTAAAAATCCTTTTCTCTGCATTGTATTTGCTTTAGGCTTTTATATTAAAAAAAAGAACCCCAACCAAACCCTCTAACAAAGCTGTAAAAATGCAAGCAACATCCTCTGTCAATCCTTTGTGTATACACACATCCACACACGCTCACTGTTGTTTTTCCTTGGCAGAGGGGCTGTGTCAGAACACACACAGTGGGCTGTGAGACATCCATTAAGTGGGTTGGTGTGCCTTTGAAAGTGTGAGAGGCGTTGGAGCCACATGAAAGGGCTGCAGCTCGGGGGCAGAGCCAGCCCTGGGCTCCCTGCCAGCTTTTTTTTTTGCCTTTCTGGGGTGATATCCTGAATGGAAGGTGCTGTTGTGCACTGGGATGGATGCAGCAGGGAAGCTCTGTGAAAGGTGCCTTCCTGGTGAGGATGCTCCGTGTGTTTTACCCCTGTGAGGGTGGAAAGGACAAGCAGCACAGATCTGAAATACCTGGGTATTTCAGATCTGCATTTTCCAATACATGGCAGTCCCTCCAGCCAGGGACACCCAGAAATGGAGGGAGGGAATGATGCATCTGACTCCATGTGAGAAGGCTAATTTATTACTTTATTATACTATATTATAGTATAAAAGGCTAATTTATTACGTATAGTATAGTATAGTATAAATATACTATATTGAAGAATACAGAAGGAAGAGAAGAAACTGTGGCTCAGAGAAGAAACTGTGGCTGCCCCATCCCTGGAAGTGTCCAAGACCAGGCTGCACAGGGCTTGGAGCAGCCTGGGATAGTGGAAAGTATCCCTGCCCATGGCAGGGGGTGGGACTGGATGAGCTTTAAGGTATAATACACTATAGTAAAGAATACAGGAAGGATACTTACTGAAAGCTAAAAAGATAATAATGAAAACTTGTTACTCTTTCCAGAGTCCTGACACAGCTTGGCCCCAATTGGCCAAAGAATCAAAACAACTCAGACCAGAATCCAATGAAACAGTCACCTGTGGGAAACAATCCCCAAACTCATTCCATATGAGCACAACACAGGAGAAGCGAATGAGATAAGAATTGTTTTCCTTTTCTCTGAGGCCTCTCTCTGCCTTTCAGCTTCCCAGGAGAAAAACCCTTTGGTTGAAGGACTTTTTCCAGAGAATGTGAATGCCACAGCCAGGAAGGGCTGTCCTGGGCCAGAGCTCACTGAGGAGGGAAGGCAAACAGCCCTGCTGCAGCCAGGGTGGGTTCAAAGCAGAGAAATGCAGGATGCAACACGCAGGGGGTGGGGGGCACCCACACACTTGGGTGCAGGGCCCAGCATGGGGAGGCCCTCCACCCACAGCTGGGATGGAAGTTTGGGCCCCAAACAGTTCTCCCCATGCCAAAATAATTTGGCAGATTGAACCCAACTGGGCTGGCATGGGGATGTTGAATGAATCTGGGTTTCTTTGCTAGGAAGAGATCCTTCCTTGGTATCTAGCAGGCTTGCTGTGAGGGTGGCTCCAGAGGGCCTTGCTCAGCCAGAGCCTCGATTTTCTCACCAGTTCTTGCAATGGAGGAGGATGGCAGACAGGCAGGCTGGAGTCCAGGTCTTTTCAAGCTCACTTTGTCTGGAGAGGCAACTAGAAGTTGAGCTTTGTCCTTGGCCAGATCCTGGTTTGATATGGGATCTTTTCCTTGGAGCCTAGGCCTGGCCTTGGTGGGAGGCCTGGGGTTTGTGGGCTATGGGGAGCTCCTAAGGCTCTGTATGAAGTGTGGCTTTACAAAAACATCAGTATTATTGGAGAAGCCACTTGTCCAAAGTGTCCCCATGCAGCCTCACTTAGCATTGGAAACTTTTAGCATCTGTCCTTGGAACACCTAGTCAGTGACCAGGGTCATTTGATTTATTTAATCCATTCATCACTGTCCTACAAGACTCCTAGGTTGAATTCTCTCTCACACAGTAGATTCCTTCTTTGCTCAGAGGAGAAACTGTAGCTGCCCAGTCCCTGAAAGTGTCCAAGGCTGGATTGGATGGGGCTTGGAGCGACCTGGGACAGTGGATGAGTTTAAGGTCCCTTCGTACCCAAGCCATTCTATGATTCTTCTGTAGATGCTTCTGTTCCCCCTTGGAGACCCACAGAAATGATCAGGGTGATCTCCTTCACTTGGAGAAGTGATCAGAGTGATTCTCCTTCACTTTGAGAAGTGATCAGGATGATCTTCACTTTGAGAAGTGATCAGGGCGGTCTCAATCCCTTTGAGAAGTGGACAGGGTGATTCTCCTTCCCTTTGAGAAGTGATCAGGGTGATCTTCACTTGGAGAAGTGATCAGGGTGGTCTCCTTCACTTTTAGCCCGTGCTGATCTCACCCCTTCCCCACCACTGTTCCTTGGCTGGTTACCGGAATCTGGGTGTCATCACAGAATCATTTATTTGGAAAAGACCTCTGAGATCACGGAGACAAACTATCAACCCAGCACTGCCATATTCCCACGCCTGAGCATCTCAGGGATTCCCAGTGGGAATTTTCCCAGAAAATCCCTGGGTTTCCTTGCTGTGGCTCCTTGTGGAGTGGGAGAGGAGCTGTGGTGGGTGGATAACCCTGCTGACAGAGCTGTCTGTGTGCTGGTGGGGAGCTCGGAGGGTCGGTGGCAGTGGACCCCCATCCCCAGAGCGCAGGGGGCCGCGGTGCCGCAGCCGGAGAGCCTGGGCAGCAGCATCGCGCTGGAAGAGCTGCCCTGAAGAAAGTCGTGGAAAACAATAGGAATTGTTCTCTGCCTTTGTTCGCTTTCCTTGCCGGATGTCGGAGGAGAGGGAGCCGGCGGGTGGGCACGGGGAGCCCGCCTGTCCCGCCGCCTGCCCCGCTCCTCCGAGCCGGGATCATGGCTCCGGGGGGAATTACATGTGTAAAACACCAAGCGCTTGGTTTTTAAATTTTAAATGTTTAATAGTAATAAAAAGGTTATAAAATAATAATATAATTAGAGTAATAATAATTTGGGCAATTTGGATTAGGACAATATGAGACAATATAAACAAAGAGTTACAGACAGTCCAGGTACCTCTTTCTGGGCAGCACAAGCCCAAAAAAGGACCCACGCTAACAGAGGGTTAACCCTTAAAAACAATAGCCCGTTGAATATTCATACACTTCATCCATGATGCATAAATTCCATTCAAACACAGGATTCTGTCTGGTCATCGTCAACTTCTTCCTCTGAATCCTGACAGTGTCTTCACGCCTGAGCAAGGCAGGAAGAAGTTCATTTCTTCTGATAATGGAGCAATAAATTCTCTTTCTCTAAAAGATTTAGGTGTCCTGTGGCTGCTATCTGGTGCAAGTACCTCATACCTTTCTTAAAAAATATATATATCCTACATACATAGTTCCTATTTTAACTACAAAAGTTACCTTTTAACTACAAAACTAAATTTACCACACTATTAAAATGTTAATACAACACTACTAATCAATACAACCAAATACATATAGTAAATATCTGCGTAGAGCCATATAATATGCACTTTTCATGTTAAAGTTTGACATTGTCATACGAGTCAGAGTTAAAATTGGCCAGTGGTTCTCTGTGTCTGGAAGCAGGTTTTCTTATGAGCAGGTTTTCTTATGGCTGCAGATGCTGAAGCTGCTGTTTGCTGCAGGGGCTCAGGCCATGATCTCAGCCCAGATTTGCTGCCAGCACTGGCGATTGTGGTGCCCACACTCTCCATGGGCAGGCGGTCTGAGGTGGATTTGTGGCACAGAAGTTGCTGACTGGACCCTAGCCTGGCAGCCATGGGATCATTTCAGCACTGTGCTTCCCATTTTCTATCCCTGCCAGCCCTCAGTGGGCCCGAGCACGTGGGGAAAATCCCTGGGTTTCCTTGCTGTGGCTCTCTGTGCTGCTGACAGCCATCTGCCTGCTGAGAGCTGGTGCTGTGGTCACTGCCCAGATCAAAGGGCTGCAAGCAGAGGCGTGGGAGGGTTTCCCCCTGCCCTGCCAAGGGAGATTCCCCACGCTAGAGCCAGCCCTGGGGCCCAGGTGTAGCTTCAAGGCAGAGAGAGATCACAGCATCAGAATCCCCGAGTGGTTTGTGTTGGGAGAGATATTGAAGCTCATCTCACTCCAATCCACCTTCCACCAGCCCAGGTTCCTCCAATCCCCATCCAGCCTGGCCTTGGGCATTTTCAGGGATGGAGAGCCCACATCTCTAGGTCAGCACAGAGCATTGCCATGGGGTTTGCTTGGCCAAGCTGGCAGCTCCCCACTCAGAGCCCCTGAGTGTGCATGCTCAGCCTGGTGAGCTGCTGATCCTGATGCAGGGAAGAAAACTCAGGTGTTTCCAAACCCCAGCTGCTCTGCACAGCCCCAGGTGTGGGGACAAGAGTCATTGCTGAAGGAGATTAAAGCACAGGCAGTGAGCATGGAACATGAGTGTTGCCTCCGTCCCCTTGGCCTCTGATCTCTGTTTATTCCCTTTGTGGACAGATCTCAGCTGAGCTCCAAGCCAAGCAGAATTTTCCCATTGCAGGTGGAGCAAGGGTCTCAGGCAGAGCTCCTGGATCTCCTGCACCACCACCCAGTGACCTGTGGGCCCCTGTCCTGCTCTTTTGCCTCTGAGATCTACAGAAAACACCCAGAGCACTGTTCTCACAGTTGGTGTGCTCATGTTTGCCCGGGTTGGATGCTGTCCATCCAAAGTGGTGAGTCTGAGGATCCTGATTCTGTGGGGAGGTGGCTCAGCCTCTTCAACAGGTTTGAGCACACTGGGGGAAAGTGACAAAAATTAAAACAACTACATCAACAAGGGACAGGCAATGGTGAAGAGCTGTTGGTCACATGCAGGGAGAAATGAGGGGAGATGCAGCTGTGGGGGCTGCACAGCCCCATCTGAAACAGCTCCAGTGTGGAAGCATGGTCTCAAAGCATGATCTCAAAGCCTGTCTTCCCTTATACTGGTGAAAGTTAAGTGTCTGCTTTCTGGAGCCCTTTCAGAGCCTGCCAGCTCAGCTGCCATGTGTCCTCCAAATGCAGGGCAGGATGCTCAGCTTCCTCCTGGCTGCCTGGACGGGCACATGGGCTGCAAGCCATGGCCAAACAGGCTGGGAGCTCCCAGCTTCTTCCTTCCCCGGGGCTGGCAGTGGGTGTGGGGCCAGGGAGGGCTCTGGGACACGATGCTGGTGGCTTGCAGGGATTGCTCCCAAAGGCAGCTCCATGCTGGGAAGCTGGCAGCAGGACTTGCTGCTTTGGGGCGGCTTTGTGCTTTTTTTTTTTTTTGGTTGTTTTCCTAAAAACTGCGCCTTTTGCAATCCTCCCAGTCTTTCACAAAACTTTTCCTGGCAGAACCTCTCCAAAACTTCTGGGAATTCAGCTTTTGAAAGGCGTTGGGGTTAAAGACATTTGCGCTTCTGTACAACGCTGACAGGTTTCCCGGGGTGGGGATCTCTTGCCGGAACTGCTTCATGGTGCTGGGTTGGAGTCAGGGAGCTCAGGTTGCTCCAGGGAAGATGTTCAGCCTGGGAGAAAGGACAGAGGTGACAAGCGAGGAGCCTTGGAAGTGGCTGAGGATGGAGAGCTCACCCCACCATGCTGGGGAAGGTGTTTCCTACTGTTGTTGAAGGCAAAGTGTGGTTTGGGGAACTGCGATCTGGGGTGTCACTCTGAGAACAATTCCCCCCATCCCCTTCATAACTGATCCCAAAGGGCTGATGTCCACCTCATCCCACCATGTTGGGGTGTTCCAATTGTTGAACCCAAACTGTGGTTTGGGGAACTGCGATCTGGGATGTCACCCTGAGAACAATTCCCCCCCATGCCCTTCATAACTGATCCCAAAGGGCTGATGCCCACCCTGCTGCTCACACAGGTGAGACCAGCTCCATGTGCTCATCACTGACCTCCAGCTCTCTCCCCGTGGATGTGTGTGGCAGTCTCTGCTGGCCCTGCTAGTGCAGACAAAATTTGGGGACACCGTGGGATGGGCATTTTTCCATCAGTTACTTATGGGGTCCCTCAAAGCTCTGCCCTTGCTGATGCATGTGCCGCGTTTCAGAGGAAAAATACTTGACGGACTTAGAGGTCTTTTCCAACCTAAAGGATCCTCTGATTGTATACAGATGTGAGGAATAAAGACTGAAATGAATAAGGCATGAAGCCCTGAAACACGGCTTTGTGTCTGCAAATAATAAGGAATGAGTTACAGCCTTGGAAGGGCAGGAACGTTCCCCCGTGTGCAGGGTCCAGCCGGCCCCTGGCGTCAGCGAGGTGCCCTCCTCACACTGTCCCCTGCAGGAAAGCTCTGCTCCCAGTGGATTGCCTGCAGATGGCTTTCTCAACCTTTCCTAGCCCAGGGAGGGCCAAACCTTTCTGGTGAAAACCCAAGGATCATTTTGTTCTGTGGAGCCACCACATGGTTTTATTTACGCCCCATGCGAATTAGGCAAACGCCTCGCTGTTTGTCTCTTTTATTTCATCCCCTCGTGCTTGTTGCTGCACACAGGAATGTGTGCCTGTGTGCTTAGGAGATATTTTGCAGACCACTTCCTACTGTCCTGGGGACACGGAGCAGGTCCTGGACCCAATGTGACAGCGGGGAGCGATGTGTCCCTGTCCTTACTTCACATCACAGCTCGGCTCCCCAGGCAGGAGCAAAGCACCAGGCCTGGCCAAGCCACTCCACCATCTCCTGCCACGCCAGCATCCCAGCCCAGAGAGGGGCAAAACCCTCCAGGACCTTCAATGTCCCTGTCCTCACCTGGAGAATGTTCATTAACGTGGCTGAACAGCAGCCTGAGCCCACCACATCCTCTGTGCTCATCACTGGGGGGCTTCAGTCCCTCCACCTCTGGCCTAGAAGCCCACAGGTCTCCCTGTGTCTCACAGCGTGTCCTTGGCTCTCAGGATGTCCCCACTGACTGGTTTTTTTGGCCAAGAAAGCACTGAAAGGTAGCTGCATCCCCTTTGGAAAACAAATGGACTCGGAATCTCCGCCAGGACTTTCCCTCCCTCCCTGGACCCTTGCAGAGCCTCAGCAGGAGCCTTCCCCAAATCCATCCCTTGCTCAGGGCAGTTCTGCCAGCTCCCAAAGCCACGCTTAACTTGACACATGTGTGCAGCCCTGGGGAATGTGGTGGCTCTGATTCTTGTTTGTGATGCCTTCCCCGGCTCCAACCTGACAGGAGCCTCCCCTCCAGTGCCCACCTCTCTGCCAGACATGCCTGGAGCACCAAGAACACCAATTTCCATCCTGGAGATGGCCTGGGGCTCCAGTGGGGTGACTGCTCCCAGTCCCAGCCCTGGTGGGCACCCTCAGGGCTGTGAGGAGTATCAGAAGGGACTGTGCCTGTCAGGGGAGATGGGATGGTTTGTCCTCCTGCATGCCTTGTGTTCACCTCCTGCAGCTGCCATTCAGGGCCCCAGGTGCCATTCAGGACCCCCAGGTTTGGTAATGGCTGTGCCACTGGACACGTCCCTAGCATGAGGATGAGGATGAGGAGACAGCAGTGTTTCGTCTCTTGCAGAGAGGTCAAGCTCTGTTTAAGTACAATCCTGGTAGAACCCAAATTTGGAGGATCCCTAAGGGAGGCTGTTGGGATGGAGGGCTCCATGCAGCCCTGCTGGGGCTGTTGGACAGACACAAAGCCATCTCCAGCTCTGAGACAGAGGCACCAAAGTTCTGCTGTCTTGCCCCTCGTGGGGCTCAGCACAGCTCCTGTTGGGACCAAGGTGTGGGCATGGTGCTGCACTCCTTGGGCTGCACTCTCACTCCCAGCACTCTGGGACAGACTGACAGCAAACACGGCTGTGGGTCCAGCTCTGGCTCCTCCTCGCTGACAAAACCCCCAGTTTGCCACACAGTTTTTCGCGTTTGCTCCTCGCCAAAAATCCGCTTTCCATTCCGGCGCCCGCCTTGCAGGGAGGCTGTGGGGATGGGAGGGGGGTGGGAGCCTGTTTCAATTGTTTGGGGAAGGGAAGAGACTGGTTCTGTGGCTGGTGGAGCCCAGCAGAGCGCTCACTGCGAGCAGGGAGCTTTCCCACTGCTGGTGCTTCCCTTGCAGCAGCAGAACCTGCAGGGTTCCTGAGCTGGTGGCACTTTGGTGGCAGGGGATGGAGCCTTGCCTGGGGCATGGGGTGTGCATCACCTGCCTGGGACAATTCTGAGGGAAAAATACACAGGTTTTGGGATCTGGCCATTGGTCTCTCATCCAATACAAGCTGAGAACCAATGCATTTAGGGGCAGGAGGGTTCCCACCTGGCTCTCCCCAGGCAGGGGTGAATCTCTCACCTAATCCCATGTGAGCCCAGAAAAATGAATCACCAAAAATGAAAGGAAGCGAAGAAAGCAAGCAAAAAAAAAGATTAAAAAATCCCTCCCCAAAGCCGCCTTCCAGAGGGTTGGGCAAAAGATAAAAGCTCTCAGAGGAGCCGGGACTCCTCCTCTCCCACCACCGACCTCTCATTTAAATGTCTGTGTGCAGGCTGCAGCCGGCAGTGCCGGGCCGGCCGTGCCCCGGGGGCGATGCCCGGGCCGGGCTCGGGCACCGAGCGGGGCTGCACGTGACACCGGCGGTGACACCGGGGCGACACGGGGGTGCCAGGACAGGTCCCGGTGCATGGACACCCCCGGGCAGGCCCCGATGGCGGCGCCGCTGCTGCTCTGGGTGGTTCTGCTGCGCTGGGCCAGCGGCGGGGGCTTCACCCGGGCGGGCAGGACCTGGCAGCACTGCACAGGTAGGAGCCGGGACCGGGGGTGCTGCACCGGGGACAGGTGGGCTCACCTGCCGGGAGCGGGCTGGGATGCTCCCCACGCTGCCGGGACAAAGCCCAGGAGATCTGCTCTGATCTGGGGGGAAAATGACAGGAGGTGAGCTCTGATCTGGGGAGAAAAGCCCAGAAGGTGAGCTATGATTTGGGGAGAAAAGCCCAGGAGGTGAGCTATGATTTGGGGGGAAAAGCCCAGGAGGTGAGCTCTGATTTGGGGAGAAAAGCCTAGAAGGTGAGCTATGATTTGCAGGGGGCAAAGCCCAGGAGGTGGGCTCTGATTTGGGGAGCAAAGCCCAGGAGGTGAGCTCTGTTCTGGATCAGCCTCTCCAGGCATCCCAGCCCCGCTGTTTCGGTGCTCAGTGCCCGCTCAATGCCCCGAGTGCCCGAGGTGCCTCAGGGATGCACGGCAGCCCCATGGATGGTGTCAGGCTGTGGGGTCACTGCCGTGCCTGCAGCCCCCACAGGACCACCAGGGGAGCATCCAGCCCTGTGGGAGCTGTGGGAGAGCTGTGCCCGTCCCTGCTGCACAGGCGTTGTCCCAGGTTCTGCTGGAGCGGAGACAGAGGGGAGGGGAAGGACTGGAAAAAGCCATGAAGTCCCTGGAAAGTCCCTCCTGCCCGGATTTTCTGTGCTGTGACAGGCACAATCCCCACCCTCCTGTCCTGCTGTCCCCGGTGTCATTCCCGAGCCCAGGAGGGTCCCGGTGCCCCGGCTCTGCCATCGCCTGTGCTGGGTGGGCAGAGCTCACTGAGCTCAGCTTTTGGTGCTGCTTAGGGCTTGTCCCAGTTTGATGGCAATTGTATTTGCTTTTTGTTCCAGCCCAGGTGATGTGAGAAGAAAACCAGGGAGAGATTGGAGAGTTTCTGCCTCCTCCCTGAGGGGTTCCAGTCTCTCTGGGAATGTCCCTGCTGTCCCCAGGCAGCCTTGGCTGGGGGTGCTGAGGCCCCAGCATCATCCTGGGGACCCCAGCACGAGGCCCCCTGAACCACCTGTGCTGCCCAAGCTGGGCTGGAGCCCCCCAGCTGCTCTGCCAGCCCTAGCAGTGATGGATGTGGGGGGCAGCCCTTTGGGTTTAGCGATTTAGGTTTGGTCCCTTCCTGGCCCACAACCTCCAGCCCCAGCTGAGCTCTCCCCCAGCTCATCCTCAGCCTCTCAGGGGCAACTGGGGGCTCCTAAACCCCTCTGCAAATCCAAGCCTGAGTTCAGCTTGTACTTTTTGCTGGGGAAAACAGGAACTGGCTGTTGCCTGAGTGATGCATTTCTGAAATAAGCTGTTCCAGTCAAACCCCCCCTCCCACCAGGACTTTGCTTCACCCAGCAGTGGGGTGGGCAGGGGGCACACAGAGCTGCCAGGGTGGGGAGGACCTCACCCATGTCCCTGCTCTGCTCTGGATGGAGCCAGACGGGAAGATTCCTCCTGGCTCTGCCCACCTGGAACGGGGCTGGTGTTGGAGGAAGCGCTTCCCTTCTGCAGCTGGTTTGGATTCACACACACAGCCCAGCCTTGCTTGCAGCTCCCTCCTTCCCAGCCCTCCTGCTGTGCCCCAGCAGCCCGGATTTATTAGTACAAATTGGAGCTAAAAGCCAGGTCTCAGCGGGGTGGGACCGAATCGGGGATGGTTTGTGCAGCCAAGAGCTGCTTCATCTCTCGGGCACCATCTCCCTGCTCTGCCAGAAAACCGTTCAGAAATAAAACCAGGAGGGTCCCAGGCCAGGAGAAACCCCCAGAGCTGCTCCAGCCCTGCCTGTGCCGCGACGTTGGAGCTGGCATTGCTCCATGGGGTGGCACTTTCTGGTGCTGCTGTGCTGTGTGCTCTCACCGGGGCGATGCCCTGGGGCTGGGCACAGCGTTGCCTTCTCTGGGGAGAGGGTAATTATTTATAATGAGTGGTTTTGGTGCCTGCTGGGAGAGTGCGTGTGTGCAATGAGGGCTGGGCTGGGAGAGCCCGAACGGCACCGGAGGGGTGGAGCTGTCCCACTGCCCTGAGAGCCGGGCTGTGGCAGCCTTGGAAGCAGCTGAGCATGGAGGCCTCACCCCACCATGCCGGGGAAGGTGTTCCACTTGTTGAACCCAATGTGTGGTTTAGGGAATTGCCATCTGGGGATGTCACCCTGAGAACAATTCCCCCCCATGCCCTTCATAACCAATCCCAAAGGGCTGATGTCCACCTCATCCCACCATGTTGGGGTGTTCCAGTTGTTGAACCCAAAGTGTGGTTTAGGGAACTGCCATCTGGGGATGTCACCCTGAGAACAATTCCCCCCCATGCCCTTCATAACCAATCCCAAAGGGCTGATGTCCACCTCATCCCACCATGTTGGGGTGTTCCAGTTGTTGAACCCAAAGTGTGGTTTAGGGAACTGCCATCTGGGGATGTCACCCTGAGAACAATTCCCCCCATGCCCTTCATAAGTGATCCCAAGGGGATCAGACTGCATCCCTGCCTGCTGGGGCCGGGGGATCCCGAGGGGGTGCCTGGCTGGCTGGTCCCAGCCCCAGTGTCAGCACCCAGAGCTGCCTAAGTGAGACGGTTCTGCCCTCTCGCTGTTCCTGCTGTGGCGATGGAGATGCCAGTCTTGTGTCTGCAGGGCAAATCTCTGCTTGGCCCTGGAGAGGGGATCGGGGCAGACCCCAGGGAAGGACTGGCATGCTCCTGCAGCACACCAGCCCATCCTGCTGCTCTGCCAGCACCGGGTACCCCATCCTGACACCAGCAAGGGGGGCTATTTACAGACACGAACGAGACGGGGCTGCTGTGGAAAGTGCTTTGAGCTGTTTATTTTTCAGCATCAGTCTCATTATATGATTATGATAATGGGAAGGTGCTAGCAGCTCACAATCTAGGCAGCAGGCCAAAAAACTTAATGTTACAACTTACTTTATAAGCTTCTTAACTAATCACACAAAGCAAAAGCACATTGACAGCAGTTGTATCCAATCACCATAAGCACACGTACCTTTGGTTAAACAATGCTTGCTTATTTCCAATACAATACCTGCTTGTAAGCCTTAAAACACAACGCACAGAGCTCCATTATTAAGCTTTAACCTTCTTAATATCTTGCTAGATAAACTTTCTGCAGCTTAGAAAGCTATTGAGACAAGCATTAATACACAAGCTATTATTCTACTTGCTTTTTCTACAGTTTAAATAATTTTCCTGCTGACCTATCTCATGGCTGTTGCTTTAGCTCTACTCACAGTTCTGCCGCTACCTAAAGCCTGCCTTTTGCAGCTTTCCCAAAACCCTCTAATTTTATAAATCCCCACACATCCCCGCTGGGGATAACGCCCTGGGCTGTCTCTCGGCACAGACCTGCGCCCGCTGGACGTGCTGTCGGAGGCGGTGCCGCCCGGGGCGCTGGCCCGGGGCATGCGGGTGCTGCAGGTGCAGGGGCTGCGGGGATTGCAGCTCTCGGCGTCGCGGCCCCGCGCCCTGGCCTTCCCCGCCTCGCGGCTCTTCATCCACTGCGACCGCTTCCCCGAGGAGTTCTCCATCATCGTCACCCTTCGGGCGCTGCGCCGCCCCGCCAAGGTGAGCGCGGGCACGGCTGGGCACGGCTCGGCTCGGCGCGGCCCCGCAGGTGCCAGCCCGTGCCCTTCTGCAGAGGAACGAGTACATCTTCACGCTGATGGTGGAGGAGAGCCCCGGCGTGCTGGTGGGGATGCGCTACGCCCCCGACAAGCTGCACTTCATGTTCTGGAGCCAGGAGCGCGCCGGAGGATGGCAGAGCCGCGTCACCTTCCCCAACGTGTCCCTCTCCGACAGCCGCTGGCACACGCTCGTCCTGGCCGTGTCCGGACAGTCCTTCTCCTTGACGGTGGATTGCAGCGTGCCCAAGGATGTGTAGGTTGGGGCTCGGCAGGGCGGGCAGGGTGATCTTCTTCCACCAGTTGTGGGTTTTTCTGGGTCTGGATTGAGGACTTGAGACAGTGATTCATGTTGGGACTCAGGTGTTTATTATTTCTTATCAGTAAAACAGTCTCACTACTGTGAGTTGGGCAGCTTTTCATTAGAAGGCGCACAATGGCCAACAATCTCTTGGTACAAGGTCTTTTAAGGCTAAACTATCCAATTAAGAACCCCAAGGATGTGTAGGTTGGGGCTCAGCAGGGCGGGCAGGATTACGTTCTTCCACTGTGGGGTACCAGTTGTGGGTTTTTCTGGGTCTGGATTGAGGACTTTAGACAGTAGCTCATCTTCGGACTCAAGTGTTTATTATTTCTGATCAGTAAAACAGTCTCACTGCTGTGAGTTCTGCAGCTTTTCATAGAAGGCACAAAATGACGAACAATCTCTTGTTCCAAGGTCTTTTAAGACTAAACTATCCAATTAAGAACTAAACTGTCCCATTAAGAACTAAACTACTAAGAACCCCAAGGATGTGTAGATTGTGTCCAGTAATTCATGTTCAGACTCAGGTTTATTATTATTATTATTATTTATTATTTATTATTTATTATTTATTATTATTATTTATTATCAGTAAAAAAATCTCTTGGGCAGCTTTTTTTTTTGTGTTGGGCAGCTTTTCATTAGAAGGCACAAAATGACCAACAATCTCTTGTTCCAAGGTCTTTTAAGACTAAACTATCCAATTAAGAACCAAACTATCCAATTAAGAACCCCAAGGATGTGTAGGTTGGGGGAAGCGCTGGGGGGCTCATCAGGGCGGGCAGGGTGATGTTCTCCCAGTGTGGGGGTCCCAGTTGTGGGTTTTTCTGGGTCTGGATTGAAGACTTGAGACAGTGATTAATCTTGAGACTCAGGTTTATTATTATTATTTATTATTATTATTTATTATTATTATTTATTATTTCTTGTCAGTAAAACAGTGTCATTACTGTGAGTTCAGTAGAAGGCACAAAATGGCCAACAGTCTCTTGTTGCAAGGTCTTTTAAGGCTAAACTGCCCAATTAAGAACTGACACCTAGATTATTTTCCCTTTTAACCCACACCTCCTCTGGCCACTGCTTTGAAACTGCCCTTTTTTGTGAAACCTCTCCTCTGCCCATCCCCAGGGTGGTGGAGACCCCATTTCCAGCCTCGCTGTCGGTGAGGAGAGCCAGCTTCTACCTGGGCAACAGGAGGAGGAGGAAAGGCGTGTTCACGGTAGGTGCCCCTGCTCTGGGCTGCCCCTGGGTGCCCAGGGCTGGCTCTGGGGTGACCCACAGTCAGTCCCCTATGCTGGCAGGGCTTGGGCCACGGCACAGGAGGCAGAGTCCCTCCTGTGTGTCCCTGCCATGTGGAGGCACAGCAAGGCAGCTGCTCCAAGCCCCGTGGCAGTGCTCCCCTTACTCCAGCTGTTAGATTGCCCCAGCTGTGCATCTGGGATCTGACAGATGTGCACGAATCCCATGGGCACTTCTGCATGCCAGGAGGGAGGGCAACAAGCAGAAGTCAGGCAGGAAATCCAAGGCATGGATTACCTGCAGCTCCCATTCTGTGATCTGTGGGACTCGGTCTCCATCCCTGTGCCCCCGCTTTTCCCAGGGCTTGCTGAGGCAGCTTGTGCTGCTGCCAGGAGCTGATGCCACCCCCCGGATGTGCCACGGCCTGAACTTCAAAGTGGCAACGCTCTCTGTGCCCAGTGTCCTCCAGGATGTCCCTGCAAAGGCAGTGAGCAACGAGGTGCTCAAATACCCCTACGGTCAGTGCCCCAAGGCAGGCTCTCCGCAGAGGGAGGAAGGGGCTGGGAATGAAGCAGGAGCAGAGGGGAGGAGGGTGTTCCTGTCCCCAGCACTCTCAGTGCGTGTGTGTTGGGATCTCTGTCCAAAATCTCCCTGAACACACAGGGTGGCCCTGCCTGGCTCCCTGGGCTCACTTCAGTGACCCCACACAGATTGCCCCAGTCTGTTGCTTCCCAGATCTGTGCTGGGATTCCATTTTCCCCACTGCCTGATGCCCATCATTGGGATGAGAGCAGGATGTTTGCCCCTCCTGCCTCTGTGTGCACTGAGAGGCTCCTGCCTGGCTCCTCTCCTGTAGGGGGATAGAACATAAGCAAATAAAGGTGGTATAGAATGTAATCTTACCCCCTAAAGAGTGCAGCTGAACCAATTACTAAAGATTAGGAGCAGGCCTGATGTTAACAGGCCACAGCTGTAGCCAATAAGAACAGTGTTCTAAAAGAGTGGATTGGTTGGTTGAGGGGACTGGAGTCAGATGGCTGCTGTGAGGACAAGGAAGAGTCAGTGCCCAGAGGAGCTGCCTACAAGAAACATCAAGGGGGTACAAAACTCTGGCAATACGGAACCATTGCAATGTAATGACAATAGAACTCTTGCAATATAATGACGACACTCTCTGTGCCCAGAGACTGACATGAAGGTGACCCTGGGGGCCCGGCCCCGCTGCTCCAAGCAGGAGAAGGCTCAGTTCTGGTTCAACGCCTCCCGGCGTGGGCTCTACCTGTGCAACGGCAGCACCTGGCTCTCCATGCTGGAAGGTACCCTGGGAGGCTCTGGGGAGGGAAGGAGAGCTTTGCAGCAGAGCAGGAGCTGAGCTTTGCTGTTGTAAAGGTGACTCAAATAGCCAAAGGTGACTCTGACAAAGGGGAGAGAGAATGATGCATCTGACTCCATCATCAGAAGGCTAAAGAATTACTTTATTATACTATACTAAGTATATTTCATCTAAACTGAATCTGCCATGCGCTCCTCTTGTTCATCACTGCTCACACTGCACTCATCTCTGATTCTCCCATGACAGTCTCACACACACAACTGGCCCTGATAGGCCAAGAGAACAAAACATCCTCACTCTGAGTAAACAATTTCCATATTGCATTCCATTATAGCACAACGCAGGCACAGCAAGTGATAAGAATTGTGTTTTCCTTCTTCCTTTCTTATCTCACAGCTTCTCTCGGTTTAGAGGGCATGTGAAAACCACAGTTTGCCCCCCAGACCCCTTTGGGATGGGGATCAGCAGCAGTGAGGGGCTGGGGGGTGCCCCTGTCTGTGCTCTGCTTTGCTCTCAGTGCCCATGATGCTTCCAGAGCACCTCTGGATTCAAGTGCCTCTGTGATTCTCCACGTTATCTGTCCCTCCTGGGAGTTTTCTGGGCAGGATGAGCTCCTGACCTGTCTGGGCAGGACAGCTCACCCCACAGAGAGCCATGCTCAGGGTGTTGGGGTGCTGTGCCAATGCAGAAGTGTTTGTGGGGTGGATAAAAGGAAACAAAGAGACCCAAAAGCTGCCAGAAATACTGGGGGTGATTGGGAGGGTGGCAGACACAGTCTCAATGTCATCTGGGCTCTGGTGGGAAACTTGGTGAGGAAATCAGTGGGAGTACCAAGGTGGGAAAGCCAACCAGAGCCTGGGTTGGATGGGTGTTCTTCAATAATGATGTGGATTTCATCCACTGGCACTCTCACTCACTCCAGGCTGGCTTCCCAGGATCCCTGGAGAGCCCATGGAGGATGGGATAAGTCCCTAACTGAGCTGTCCTTCCTTTCCCTCCTCTCCCAGAATTTTTCTGGGTTTGGATGAGCCATTTGTTCCCCACAGCAATGACTAGACCCTCTATCCTTCTCTATCTCTGGAATCCATCAGGATTGGCACGGTGTCCTTGTTTCCCCAAGGAGAGCTCATGCTGGGGTCTTACTGACCTGTGCCCCTTGGTGCCACCAACACTGCCCCCTCCAGTGCCCATCTGCCTGCTATCAGGGCCACTCTGGAGGTTTCTGCTCCAATTTCTGGCATTAATTCCGTCTTAGCCTTCCCTAACCTCTCCTGCTGTCATCTCCTCCTTGCTCTCTTGAGGATGAATGTACCAAAGTGATCCAAATCTGTGCCATGGGGTCCTTCCCTGCTCCCAGGGACACACAGCTCTGCTCTCTGCTGGAGAATGGGGCTGGATGTGCTGCAGTCAGCCTCTTCCCACCCCTTGGTTTGGCCCTTCACCCCAGTGGCACCAGGAGCTTCATGGCTCTGCACAGGAGCAGGTGCCACTGAGGCAGGGTCACCACATTTCTCTTCACAGAGAAAAGCAAGGCACAATTCTGCCCAAGAATATTTCTGGGTTTCACACCCTCTGAACCTCAGAGAAAAAAAAAAAAAAACAATTCTTATTTACTGCTGCTGTGTTGTTCACAAGTGGAATGCATTGTGGAAGGTTGTTTACCTGAAGGGAATTGGTAATTAATTGGATTCTGGTGTGAGTGTTTTGATTCATTGACCATTTGAATCCAGGTTTGTGTGTGTGTTGGGACTGTGGGCTGACAGTCACCAGATTCTGTGTGGTGGTGTCACAGGGGTCCCAGGATGGGGAAAGAGATGATAATCTTGACTCCATGTTTCAGAAGGATGATTTATTATTTTATTATATATATTATATTAAAACCATACTAAAAGAATAGAAGAAAGGATTTCATCAAAAGCCTTGACAGGAAAAGGAAATGGAATGATAATGAAATCTTGTGACTGACCAGAGCATCTGAGACAGCTGGACTGTGATTAATTAAAAACAACCACATGGACCAATCAAAGATGCACCTGTTGCATTCTACAGCAGCAGATAATTATTGCTTTTTCTTTTCCTCTGAGGCCTCTCAGCTTCTTAGGAGAAAAAATCCTGGCAAAGGGATTTTCCAGAAAACATTATGGCTGCAATTCTGGGCAGTTGAGTGCTTGGCAGATGCAGTTTAGATGTAATGTAATATAGTATAGAATAATACAGTATAATAAAGTAATTAATTAGCCTTCTGATATCAATGGATTCCTCCTCACCATTCCTCCTGTTTGTTGGGGGGCAAAAATATCCACGATAAGGCTCCTCTCCAGCTAAAACCCACCTGTTTTTAACCTCATCTGTCTTTTTTTGTGTGCTGCCAGTCCAACCCAGGCTGGACTACGTGGAGGAGCACCAAAAGCTGGTGACCAACTCGGAGACCATGGGCGTTGAGGTGTTCAGCATCCCCAGGCTGGGGCTGTTTGCAGCCACAGCCAACAGGCTGACACCCCCGGGATCAGCCATCTACAGGTGGACTGACGGCAAGTTTGTGCACTACCAGAACATCCCCACACACCAGGCACAGTCCTGGAAGTATTTCACCATTGGGAAGAAGGTGAGCCTGCCAGCAAGGTGCTCCCATGTTGCAGTATAAAAATGGAAGGTATAAAGTATAAACTGAAGGTATAAAGTATAAACTGAAGGTATAAAGTATAAACTAAAGGTGCCCAGCACTGGGTTCTCTGAAGCCTGGAGTCTTGGGCATGGTTTGGAGAATATAGGTTTAGAAAATATAGGTAGCTGCATCTCAGAGATCTGCCTATGGTCTTGAAGAGCCATCAGGGCCTGCACTTCCCTTTTGAGACCCACTGAGTCCAACCTGCTGCATTTTAAAATTCTCTTGCTTTTAAGTTGTTCTAGGAATTCAGAGCTGCCTCTTCTCCCATGGGCAATCTGCCTTGGGGCTTGAGCAGAGGATTTGCCTGGTTTCTCTCTCTGTTTAGCACCTTGGGGGAGCCCAGGAAAGCCATCTGCTGACAGCCAGCTCTGTGCAGGACTCCCAGGGAAGCTGGGACTGTTCCCCCTCTGTTGTGCCCATTCTGGCTTTGTCCCCAGGGTTTTCTCTTCCCACTGGAGCTGTTTCTGGAGATGCCCCAAAGGGGCTCCCTGGACTGGTGCTTGCAGGGAGAGCAGGGCTGGGATTCACCTTTTGTGGGAGGACAGGGGGACAGCCCATCTCTGTCCTTGGGGGTGGCTGAATAAAGCCCTGGTCCTGTACAGGCCAGGGGGCAGGAGACAGCCCAATGACTCTTTCCTCTCTGTGGGCTGTGTCCCTGTGCCTCTTTGTGGCCCAAACTGGGCCATAATCTCTGTATAATCTCCTTCCATCTGAAGGACATTGGGGTGGCACAGCGTGACAGAGCTTGGATGTGCTCCCTGCTTTGCACTTGGCCACCTCTGCTGCAGCACTCTTGTCTCTTACACTTCCACAGGGGTTTCTTGGTCTGGAAAATGTTTTGTCTCAGGGAGTTGTTAGCATTATTGTGATTGTTATGCCTTTTTTTGTTCTGAACCACCTTTGCTTACAGGAGGGTTTGTCAGCTGAACCTCCCTCCTTCCCCAGTGTGTTTCACGTCCATGCTCCCCATTCCTGGGGCTGGAGGGTGTGAGTGCAGACAGCCCAGCTCCCTCCCCTTGTCTAAGAGCTGCTGGCTGCCAGTTGTGCCCCTGCCATGCACAAAGACCCCCAGAGGCCACTGTGTCCCTGTCCCCACTTTGTGTGGCATGAGGACAGCTCAGGGACCATCACATCCCACACCAGCCACCTCCATCCCGCCTCCCCCTGCGTTTTCTTGCTTTGAGAGGAGAAGAAACCCAAGCCACGCTGGCTTTTCCCTTTCCAGATCTTCCTGGCAGTGGCCAATTTTGAGCAGAACGAGAGGGGCCAGGAGTTCTCGGTGATTTTCAAGTGGAGCCGCAGGAAGGCGAAGTTCCTGGCGTACCAGAGGATCAGCACGCACAGCGCCCGCGACTGGGAGGCCTTTGTCATCCAGGGAGAGGCTTTCCTGGCTGTGGTCAACCACAGGGAAGGTAGCCAGCCCTCAGGGCTCCCTGCAGGGGGGTATCTGCTGTAAGAGCTGAAATGAGGGATGTGGGACTCCAGGCAGCTCTCCAAAATGCAGTTTATTGCATACAAAATGCAGTTTATTTATACAAAATGCAGTTTATTCCATCCAAGACTTTACAGCAGTCCAGGATGGTGGGTGACAGAGCTGTGCCCACATCTGTCAGCTCCAGCTGCAGGCAGCCCTGGAGACCCTTTGTTTAGGTTACAATGCTTTATATACTTTTCTTTTGGTTACAATGCGTTATATACTTTTCTTTGCTGAGCATCTCAATACAGCAGAACCAATCTATACCTTAACTTTTACCTATAGCCTATCATAACTCCTGTAATTACCATATTCATGTTACTGTTCTCCAGTCACTAAAAGTTAGTACATTACAGTTGAAGCTAGAAGTTGTTTTTCCAGTTTTCTTGCAGTGGAAAATTCTGAGACCTTTTTTCTACTTGCCACATTTGCTGACTTGTTTGCCTGTGCTCTCTTTCTGCTTGGTAAAAACATCTTCTTGTTTGAGGTGGGTTCATCCTTTGCTCTAAGCCATAAAACCCCTTCTAACTAACACACCCTTTGCCTCCTTGGTTATCTAGCAAGACTGGCTCAGCAATTCTTTTCTGCTATATCAAAACTTGCTTTCATTTCTATTCCTTCTTCAGATTCTACTTTCAAAAATCTTTCTGCTAAGCATCTGTGAGACTTTCTTGTCAAACTTCCATCCTTCCCAGCAGTCTGGGAGCCTGGCAGTGCCCTGCTCAGAGCAGGCTCCCTGTGCATGCCCAGGAGTGCAGGGGAGCTGAGCACTCAGCCTGGGGTCCCCCAGGACTCCCAAGGCCTTGGGAGGAGAGAAAAGCTCTTGAGCAAGTGGCTGACACAGTCACCCTCTGGGTTCTGGCTGCAGGGGACAGAGAAAGATTCAGCACAGACCCTGTCCCCACTCTTTCTGCTTATTTTCAATTGTATCCCCAGTACTACGTAACCAGGCAGTGCTGCAGGTGAAGCCAGATCCTCAGCCTTGGAGGAGCTGGATGGAGCTTTAGGGCAGGGAGAAGACCCCAGTGTCAGGATGTTAGGGATGTAGGCACACAGTTTGTGGTGATTGGGAGTGGGGCTGAGCCTCAATAGGCACAGCTGTGAGCAGCAGGTGAGCAGCACTGACAGCAATGAGCCATGGAGTGCCCAGGGGCACTGACCAACCACCAAAGGGAACAGAGGGCACACAGGTACAGGGCATCAACAGGAGGGGATAAAAGGCTGGGCTAAAGAACAAGAAGAGCAGAGCTTGCAGCCTTCTGATGAGGTAACTTGTTGCTCTGTATGGGCTGAAGCTTTCTGAAATGGTGTGGTGATATTCTGTGTATGGTGGCTGTCTCTACTGTGACATTGCTGTGGCTTAGGGACACATCCCTGCCACAGAGCAGAGCTTGTCCACCCTGGGCTGCTGGCAGGGAGCCTCTGGAGTGCTGCTTGTGTGGGGACAAAGCCCCTGCCTGTCCCTCCTCTGCCAGGGCTGCCACAAAGCTGCTGCTGCTGCCAGCACTTGGGCCAGGCTGTCGGTGTGTTCCATGGGATGGAGACACTCGATAGGGATGGAGGCTCTAGAATCTCTTTGGCTACTTCTTGGAGAGCAGCAGGTCACTTACAAACAGCCTCGTGACCTGCTGGCAAATATTCATGGAGCTGAGCCCGTTTTGGTGTCTTGTTTCCTCCACAAAGCAGGAATTGCTTTCCCTCATGGTGCCCATCTGTCTCCCCCAGGGAACAACCACAACATAGACAGTGTGATATACAGGTGGAACCCCAGGACAGGGCTGTTTGAAACCAACCAGACCATTCCTACCTCTGGAGCCTACGACTGGGAGTTCTTCACCATTGGGCCATATTCCTTCCTGGCTGTGGCCAACACATTCAATGGCACCTCCACCAGGATCTACTCACACATCTACATCTGGCTCAGGGGCTCCTTCCAGCTCTTCCAGTCCATCCTGGTAAGGCTTGGCCTCTGCTCCTCTGTGTTTGGACAGGGCAGCAGCCACATCCAGCTCCTCACGGCCTCCTTCCCCACAGACGTTTGGTGCAGCTGACTGGGAGGTTTTCCACATTGGGGACAGAGTGTTCCTGGCTGTGGCCAACAGCCACAGCTATGACAGCGGGATGCCAGCACCCTCCAACTTCTATGCCATCAACTCCTCCATCTATGAGCTGAACGTCACGGCCCAGATGTTTGTTAAATTCCAGGACCTTCTCACCTACAGGTACCTGGCCAAGGGTTCAGGCTGCTCCTTGGTCTTTCCCCTGAGCAACCCAAAGGCATCAAGGAATCCCAGGATGGTTTGGGTGGGAAGGGACCTTAAATCCCATCTCATTCCATCCCCACCATGGGCAGGGACACCTTCCACCATCCCAGGTTGCTCCAAGCACTGTCCATCCTGGCCTTGGACACTGCCAGGGATCCAGGGGCAGCCACAACTGCTCTGGGCACCCTGTGCCAGGGCCTCTTGTCTTTCAGTTTCAAACTACACTTGCCTGTCTCCTGGAGGGTTCCTGCAGGCTTCACACTCCCAGGGCCTGGCACAGGTGGGGAGGGTGATGGGTGATGGCTCCTTGGCACCAAATCCCAGTGGGAGCTGGGAGAAGGGCGTAGCTTTGGGAATGAGGGTGGATTTCTTTTGGGAAGAGAAGGGTTTTCTGTGTGTCCTCAGTGTGTCAGAGACTGTGGTGGGGTGGCCACATGGGGATCATCACACCTGTTCCTCTGCTCACTCCCTCCCCAGTGCCCTGGACTGGGAGTTCTTCTCAGTGGGAGACGACTCTTTCCTGGTGGTGGCCAACTCCTTCGATGGCTTCACCTTCTCTGTCAACAGCATCATCTACAGGTACTGCACAGGGCGGGCTGGGGGCTGCTGCCAGCAGGAACAACCCCGGGCACACCCTGCTGCACCTCCCCGGGAGGGGTGGGCAGGATTATTCCCTGTTTCCAGGCAGGGATGGGACATCCCACCCTGAACCACAGCAGGGACGTGGCATCCCCATGGCACCCTGCCCTCCCTGTGCAGGTGGCAAGGCTACGAAGGCTTCGTGGCAGCGCACCAGCTGCCCACGGTGGGCTGCAGGGACTGGGAGGCGTTCCACACCGCCGAGGGCTCCTTCCTGCTCTACTCCAGCGCCAGGGAGCCGCTCTCCAAGGTGCTCAGGCTGAAAACCACCTGAGGCAGCCGAGACACGCCCAGCCCATCGGGGGAGAGGGACACAGAGCCCGGGAATGGCTGCAGCATCAGAGCATCAGCCGGGCAGGGGCTGCTGCAGGAAGGGAGGAAGAGGAGGAGGAGGGGAGAGCTCCAGGCTCCCTGCAGCCTTGTCCAGGGGCTGTTTCTCCTGGGAAAGCTCTGCCACCACCATGTCCTAGCCAAGGCTGTGGAGCCTGGGTGCATCCCTGGCTTAGCAGGACCGTGGTTCCAGGCAATTTCCTGTGCCCAGGAGGGATCCAGAGCCTGCACAAAGGCAGGGAAGGAAGAGGCAGAGCAGGGCAGGAGCTGCTGGGTTGGGTGCATAGCACAGGGGAGTAAACACGTGAGAAATTGTGGGGGAAAGCGTGTCCAGGCTTGGCTCTGCCTGCCTGGGCTGTGATGTTCCTGAGGACAGCTGGTTTGGCATTGCAGCCATTCTCATGCCACCTTCGTGCCACTGCCACAGTGCTGCCCATCTCCCTCTCTGGGTTGGTTCTCCTTCAACAAGTTCAGAGCTGTTGGTGTGCTCCAGGGCCAGCACTGCTCCATGCCTGGGGTTAGGGACCCCTGAGCAAACCTGCTTTGTATTTGGACCCACCCAGCTGCCACGGGAGTGGGGAAAACCCAAACCTGCTCCAGGTGCAATTGTGGCCTCTTTTCTTTTCCTCACCTTTGCTGGAGGGGGGACTCTTTTGCTTAACCAGAGCTGTAATAAAGTGTGTGCACCCAGCCTTTCTCCCACATTCTGCTCTGCATCCCTTCACCCAGCAAATCACCCCTGAATGTCCATGGCCAGCCCAGTGAGGATGGGGTGGCCCTGAGCTCAGGAGTGTGCTGGGCTGGGGGTGCCCCTCTGTTCCACCCACTGGGTATCCCAGAGCCCCTCTCAGCCTTCCCAGAGCCAGGGTTCCTGATCAGCTGGAACACCCATCCTGGCACTGGGAGCACTCAGGAGGTGCCAGCCCCATCAAGAAGAGCTGGGGAGGGGTCACAGCCTGAGCTTTTGCAGGGTCCAGACCTGCAGGGGAACCTCTGCATCCCTCCCTCGCCTCCCTGTTCACTGAACACTCCCTGCTCAGTGCAGCTGGCTCTGCCAGGAAGGACCATTTCTCCTCTGTGAGAAAAGGGAGAATTCTCTGCCAGGAAGAACCATTTCTCCCCTCTCAGAAAAGGGAGAATTTGATTTGCTTCCATCACTGAGCTCTGAGCAACAACTCTAATTCAGCCTGAGAAGGGCAAGATAAGGCAAGATCAGATGTATTTGGGCAGCTGGTCCTTGCTTGGGACTCAGCTGAGGGTGGGAGGGGATAGCGCCTAATGGGAGTTGTGCTGGTACATTGAATTTAGGCTGGTCTGCTGTGGGACAGATTGGATTAGGATAAGCCCCCCAAGCACCATGAGCACCACAAGCACCACCACTGTCCCTGGACACTCATCTCCCAGCACAGCACAAACCCTGAGGGCTTTTCCTTTATTGAGGAAACAGAGGCTTTGGAGTTCCCTGGTGCTGAGGGCCCTGGGGAGGCTGTGCTGCCCTTGGCAAGGCTTTTCCTCACTGGAACCAGCATGGGGTGACCCCTCTGCACCCCTGCAGGGACCTCCTGGCCCCACAACCCCTCTCTCCCAACCACAAGGGTGTGCTGGGGCTGCGTTCCTTGTGAGTGCAGATGTGGTAGGGAAAAAGGCTCTGCCTGGGGCTGTTTGTCACCAGGGCGTGCCTGTGTGGGGTGTCCTGTGTCATCTGCTCTGTCCAGCCTTGTTGGGGAGCGGGATTGGTGGCACTGGTCTGGAGAAAGCACTGGAGAATCCCACCAGGAAGCTTTGATACCCATCAGGTGCTCATGAGCTCCAGTGAGGATGCTGGAGACTGGCACCCAGCCCTGCCCTTTTGGGTGGTGCTGGTGCTCCCTGCCATGGGCTGCCTGTGAAGAAACTGGTGCTGGTGTGTCAGAATCCAGAAAATTCCTCTGGCTGCCCTGCAGGACTCAAGACCCTGCCCAGGCGGTTCAGAGACCTTGACACAGAGCCCCAGACCCCTGTGCCTTCGATTTGGCCCTTGGAAAAAACAATCACCAACCTTATATGAAGAATTACAAGCCACAAAAGTGTAAATAGAATGATAATGAATTTATCACAGGGTGAAAAATTTTTTGGGGGTTTTTGGAATGGGGGTTCAGGAGGCAAGATGGAGGAATCTGGGCGTGTCCAGCCTTTCTCCATCTTCTTCTTGGCCTCCATCTTCTGCTGTGATGCTGTGGGAACCCAGAACACCCCTTTGGCTGTCCAGGATGGCCAGGACCCTGCCAGGGGGCTCAGAGACCCTGGCACAGAGCCCAAAACACCTGTGGGTTTGATTA